CTCAGGGATCCACATCCACTCCAATCATGCACAAACCTTGGCTGTATTACAGTTTCTAAGAAAATATTTTTAAATACGCCCAGACCATTACTAGAAATGTGGTAAGTATTCAGCAATTATTTTTAAACAAAATTGACTAATATTATTAATGAAACATTTGAAGCATTACATTAAAATACTTGCATAACTAGAGAGCTATGATAACAAGTGTCCTTAGAAATGTCTAGAGCACAGCCCGGCTGGTGTGGCTCAGTGCGTGAGTGGCGAACCAGGTACCAAGAGGTCGCTGGTTCGATTCCTTGTCAGGACACATGCCCAGGTTCTGGGCCAGATCCCCAGTGGGGGGCGTGCAGAAGGCTGCCAATCAATGTTCTCTCTCATCTATGTTTCTATCTTTCTCTCCCTCTTCCTTCCTCTCTCTCTCAAATCAATAAAGGAAAAAAAAAAAAAGAAAGGAATGTCTAGAGGACAAACTGGGCAACGATTGTTAAGTTGCATAGAGTATTTGGGCAGGGATTATGCTTAGAAGACAGTAGAAGTGACATTCTACACCTTCTTGGTGAGCTGGAGTTTCTAAACTCAAAGATTCCTTGAGAGAAAAGTTTGGATCAGGCTTTGGCCGGTTTGGCTCAGTGATTAGAGCTTCTGTCTGCGGTTCAGAGAGACCTGGGTTCGGTTCCCGCTAAGGGCATGTACCTAGGTTGCAGTTTGTCCCCGGCCCTGATTGGATCGTGCAGGTGGCAGCCACTTGATGTGTCCCTTTCACGTCGATGTTTCTCTCTCTCTCTCTCTCTTCCTCTTTCTCCCTCCCACTCTATCTGAATAAAAAAAAATGGAAAAATGTCCTCGGGTGAAGATAGAAAAAAAGTTTGGATCAGAGTCATAAATGTAAGTTTATATGCTTTAATGTGGAAAAAAAGCAAACTTTGTTTTTCTGTGTAACTGTTTTCATTCTGGAAGTATATATGGTAATTTTTGAGCCTAGAATCAACTTAATTCATTCACCAAATAGCTTTTAGTAAGTAAATGTTGCTTCAAGAAATCATGTATTTATGGATGTGTTTAGCTTTGAGCTTTGATGAATCTAAAGGGTTTAGGATCTGGGTTGGTTGTCAGATGATCGATTGAGGGAAATTTGTTTGGGTCTAAATAAAAACTTGTAAGGATAAATTCAAACCACCACTGCAGCAATGCAGCTACTTGAAGTGTGGATATCACTTGGAGGGATATGTAAACAATGCCAGCTTCAATGTAAAAATAGAAGTGTGGAGAAGATGTGAATAGTGAAAATGTATTCATCATCATAAATGAAAATGTATGTGATATAGCACAACAGAGAAGTTCTATGAATCATCAACTATATCCTGAGTCCCAATTCAATATATTTTGGCAACTAAGAAACTTTTTTCTAACTTAAATACAGTCTGGGGAAGCTTTTATTATTTTTATCAAGTTTTCTACTCACCAATGTCTCAGAAGTAAATCTGGGAAAGTTCTATGTGGTTTATCTGGGTTAGAACCTCATATTCTTGGTTACCTGCAAAGGTCACCTTCTTCTGTTCCTTAATACTTGATGCTGATTCCTTGTAACATAAATCCCTAGTTAAACGACTGGTGATTGTTTTTGAGAGCAACGCAGAACCATGTTCAGTTAATCTCTGAAAACGGACTAGGTCTATGACCTTGGGCAATTTCTTTAACTTCAGTGGAACTCAGTTTCCTTATGTGCAAAATGTGTATGAGAATGTCAGAAGGTTGTTTTCAGGAATAAAATGAGATTAATACAGTAAATATATAATGCAATTAGTTGATATTTGCTTGGACTGGATTAATTTCATATTTATGCATGAGTCATAATAGATTTTCAATAAAAGGGTTAATTTATATATTCCTCAAAGTCCCTCATGGAGTCAAAGATTTCAAGGCTTATATCTACTATCTAATTTTGTTCTTGTGAGCTAAAATATTTTCTCTCTCCTTTTTTTAAATGTTAAAAACATACAAATTGAGTTTGAGAGTAAGATGGTGGAAAGCTATTTGTACCGATTTTTTGCCATTTCTAACTGACGATGAAAACACAAAAGATATCCAAAGGAACGTTTGTTTTCTACCATGAAAAATACTGGTGCTGGGTTAGCCTCACTGTCATAACTTGTGTAAGACAGTGGGGAAGTGCAGGCTTTGGGCAATAGACCGAACAACACTATGATACCTGAGTAAAGAGACACTCTCCAGATGAGACCCATGATCAGCCCAGATCTCTGTCTAGGGGCACCTTCCTGACTAGACTGTAGGGAGCTAGCACTCAAACAGAACACTCCTCTGACCTTGTAGAAATCAGATCTCAGGGCTGCTGGAGCAGCCTCATCCTGTGGGATAAGGTACAGAGAAGAGGAACCTGCAGAGAGGAGAGGACCCAGAAGTCTGTGTGTAGATTCGTGTATTAGCCCTGACCGAAAACTGGACAGTGTGTATGCAGAGGGAGACTACCAGAAGCTTACCCAGGAATGCGTGCTAAAGGTATAGAGGCAAACAGAGAACTGGGAAGATTTGCATAAATCAGTGAACCGATATTCTCCAAATGACCAATGCATAATGGTACAGAGTTATACCATTCACGGGGCATGATGGAATAATGGAATTTTATATTATAGAGCATGAAAAGTTATTTCATTTGGTTTCAGATTAAACTTTACAAATAACCTCTAAGATAACTTGGCCATTTGTCAGTTTGGGGATAGTAGTAAAGAATATCCACACTGATCTACAGGAGTTGGAACCAATAGCTACACACTTGATCTACAGTGTGGGTGGGAACACATCTGGTGAGGCTCCGCCTCAGCCATGCATCCAGATGTGTAGTCTCTTAGTGACCTTGCAGTTCTAACCCAGCTTGGTGATCACCTTCCTGCAGCCCTCAGCACAGACAACGTGTGCAGGCCTCCCTCATGCACTGGCACCCCTACAGCCTTTTTGTGCAGCCACGTGCCCAACCACGTGCTGAGGCTCACCTGTACCAGAAAGCTACTGCAGACCAGCTCAGCCTCTAGCCAACCAGGGAACCTCTGCGTCAGCCATTGGGCTGCAGCCACACCTTTTCCAACAAAATCCGATCCCTAACTTTGGGAAGAGGGCCTCCTTTCAAGTTTTTCTTTCCTTGAGTATGCTACCTCAGCCTATGCATACCATACAGAGTTCTCTCATATTTAATAGTTATTCTTTTATCATAGTTTAACAATTCTTTATATTTAACCACCCCTGTTTAAGCCACGGTGTGTTTTCTCCTGATTGGACCCAGACTGATACCTATGGCTTCCTTGGTTTTGGTATAATAGTCAATGGACTCTGATAACTATTGATTTGTGTTACTTTAACTGCAGGCTTTTAAAAAAACAGCTGTATTGTGCTATACTTGATATATAAACATTGTATATGTTTAAGCTGTACAACTTGATGTTTCAATACATATACATTGTGAAATGATCATCACAATCAAGCTAATTATTATATCCATCACCTCCACATAGTTACCATTTCCTTTTGTGTGTATGATATGGTTTAATTTAAGATTCATCCTCTTAGCAAATGTCAACTTTACAATACAGCATTATAGTCACCATCTGTACATTAGATCTCCAGAACTCACCTTCCATACTGAAACTTTATATCCTTTGACCAACATCACCCTTTTCCCCTTCCTCCAAGTCCCTGGCAACCACCCTTCTATTCTCTGCAGGAGTCTGACTACTTTAGATTCCACATGTAAGGGAGATCACGGAGTATTTGTCTTTTTAAAGTTAGATACAGAAATGACCCCAGTGAAACATAGATGATCACAAGCTATATTTCAAATCAATTAATGAACTCTTGAAGTTGATTTTCTTCTACCCCTTAAATTTAAATCAGCTCTAATTTCACACTTTTCTCAGTTGTCAGGAATATCAGTTTCAATCTTCCCATGTATCCAACCCCAAATACTGCGTGCAGGGTTCCTGAGGGAGGGACAGGCTGTGAGGTGAAGGACCTTGTGGGAGTATGGCTTCCACTTTTTCCTAGTATGGTTTTATTTTTTCTTTATTGAATTTAGGGAGAGAGGAAGGGAGAGGGGGAGAGAGATGGAAACATCGTTGAGAGAGAACATCGATTGGCCGTCTCCTGCATACCCCCACTGGGGATCAGGCCCACAACCTGGGCATGTGCCCTGACAGGGAATCGAACCGGTGACCTCTTGGTGCCTGGGTTGACACTCAACCACTGAGCCACACCAGCCAGGCCCTAGTATAGTTTTATTTCAATATTTTCATAACCTGCATGAATTTCAGGACCGGTTGAATATAAGCCCCAATTATTTTTAATATTGTTTCTGTAAGAAAATATGAATTTGGAACAAGCAGCAGGAACACCACCGAAGTTTGAATTCGTTCAGATAAACCTCAAATATAGGGTACCCCAAAAATGTATACAGAGTGTCTGTAGATACTATTACATTTTGAAAATGAAATATATTTTAATAAACACTGGTTTTATAATTACACTTTTTTCGTGTGTACATTTTTGGTACACCCTATATATGGTCATATAATATCCAAAAAAGTCTGTTGAGCAGTAAATGAAGGAAAATAAAGTATCTGTTCAGTGGGACAAAATTTTCTCTTTGCCATTTTGAAATTACAAGACATTTATAAATCATCTGAGAAGCCAATGTGGTTTGCAGTAGGAGGTTTTTAACTGTCTCCCAAGAACACAGAAAACCCTGGTCTATCCATCGGGCCTTTATTTATCCTTCCAGGGCATCAGAGGCTGGGCAAACACAGCTCAGACAACTCGGAGACGGAAAAGCTGTGTTGTCTAATAGGAAAAAATAGTGCTTATAAAAGAAAAGTTATTGGTACTCTGTCATCATTAATTCCAAAATGTCTTTGTCTAAAGAGAGGAAGTAGAAAACAATTGATTGCATCATCAGGAATAAGATTCACAATCACCCATTTTCATATTTTCAGATTGGATTACCAAGTATCAGAAAGTTGAAAATAAATAAATAAATAAACCTAAAGGACCCAAGCCTCTCTAACAAAGGAACGCATCCATCTCCTCTCTGCCAGTGTTCAGATACTGCCCTGTTCTCGCAAGTTGATAAAAAGTAAGCAAACTTATTCTGTTTATGAGATTTTCACTATGTACTTGAGATAAACTGGACACTTTGTCATTGGCATAAAGCAACCAATAAATCATGCACCCAGAAATAAAGTGTACCTTCCAATAATGTTACCTATCACACACATTGTTTCAGAAATCCAGGTGCATGGGGATGGATGGGGATGCCAGCCAGCGGTGAGCAGTGGGCAGGTGTGGAATAGAGTGCTGCCCGCGTGCCCTGCACTGCACACGCTACTTCCTGAACTGGAGAAACACCACCCGTTTGCTTCCCTGTGAATGTGCTGTAGTGAGGTGTCATCGCATGGTGGTCCCTGAAATGCAGCCTCATAGCCATCAGTTGCACCACATTAGAGTAATGAAATAGTTTCTGCTACTCCTCATCCCACTGCTTTATCCAAGTGCATTACTAGAGGGTGCTGTGTCCCACTTAGGAATATATGCACTTACGTAAGCCATTAGCCGCAGAGAAAAATGCTCAGAATCTCAGCATAGCCCAGTCACTCACTTGGTGGGTTTTCAGGTCTCTGTAAACACCAAACTGTTTATTTCTCTTGTAAAAATAATTGTAAAGTTTAGAAAGGCAAGACTTTTGGTTATTACTGATGCTGCCACAGAGTTGTCAATTTCTTTAAACTTGTGGGGTGTCCTGTTTTCAAGGTAAACAATTCAGGCATTCAGAGCAGCTTCAAAGATTGAATGGACCCCTTCATGTAAGTGAGAACCCTGACACTCATTCTTTTTTTTTTTTTTATCCTCACCCGAGGATATTTTTCCATTTTTTGTACAGATAGAGTGGGAGGGAGAGAGAGAGAGGAAGGGAGAGAGAGAGAGAAACATCGACGTGAAGGGACACATCGAGTGGCTGCCACCCGCACGACCAGGGCCGGGGACAAACTGCAACCGAAGTACGTGCCCTTAGCGGGAACCGAACCCGGGTCTCTCCGGACCGCAGGCCGACGCTCTAACTGCTGAGCCAAACTGGCTAGGGCCTGATACTCATTCTTATACTCATAATCATTTCTTTGCCGTGACAACCCTACTGGTCAGGGACATTAGAAATACGTTGCCCTTTGAGAACCTCGGCATTGTAATGCTTTGGATTAAGTAGACTAGGGTTTTAATCCAAGATCCACCCACCACTTACTTATGTGAATAGCCTCATCTTTGGGCCTCATGTGCAAGGTGGAGAAAATGGCACCACTCATGTAAGGGCTGCTTCGAAGGCTGAATGAAATCACAGGGCATGGGAAAGATATTCTCCTCCAAATAGTGCTGGAAATTAGACAACATGCACATTTATCAGTAATATCACAGTGTGCCCATCTTATTCCGGGAGCATGAACCTTAGCCAGGTGCCATAGACCACCTCTCCAGTTCTACACTGGCCGATGCACAAGTTCTCAGCATGTTATGGTAATCACTACGATGATAATCACTGTACTACACCTAGGAAGGATGAAGACAGGAAATTGAGTTCCCACTGTGTGCCAGGCATCGTTTGAGGCTCTCTATTGACTGCACTGGTAATGAGCTCCCATGGTTTTGCTGTAGAGACAGCAGAGTTAACAGGCAATGCAATTTCCTAGCAAGAGAGCTCCAGCTGTTCAAGAGGAAGCGCTGCTTTTCATTTGTCTGTGGTCTTCGGGGGTCTGCAATGGTCGACGCCCAGAAAAGGTCCTGGGAAAGTCCTGGGAGTGGAAGATTTCTAGCCCTTCTCTCCTCTCCTCTAGAACAGCTTACAAACAGAGAAAACCACGTGTGTGGGAACACACACGGCAATGTCTGGGAGGTACATAGCTTAAGGGAAATCTGGTGGCACCCCAGTGACATTTCTCTCTCCTAATATTTGGGGAACCTTTTCATTGTCCATTCACCTTCCTGCCCTTGAAAACACATTTACATCACTGGCATATAGTCAAACATAATGATTACTTTGTGTCAACTTAGTGCAAGTGTTTATTTTTAGATGAAAATAAATGTAGATCCTCACACCTTGTCCAGTGTGGTCACCTAGTATGTGAATTTGTAGTGCTCCTCATCGAACTGCATTTCTTGGTTTCTATTACAAAGGAGAATTTAAAAAATAAGGATGAGCTCTCATACACTACATTATATGACCTCTACTATTAACTAATAGTTATTTACTAATAAATAATTGTTATTTATTAATAATAATTATTTAAAGAATTGACGATTGAGTTTTATTGTCACTAGAATATAAAAGAATAAATATCAATGTCTCCAGTAAAACATGGGACAGAGCCAAAACGGCTCCTATCCCATAATAAATGTTGACTAAAATATAAAAACAAACACGGAAAATATACAGCTGAGTTGTACGGAAAAACACGTTTTGAGTACTAGAAGCAGATGCCCCTCAGTGCCAGGTTAAAAGACCATCGCTGAGGCTGGTACAGCCCCCAGAAGTGGGAGGAGGACACAGGGTAGAATTGCTGGGAGTTTGGGGCCTGGGACCTGGTGAATCTCGGAACTAAATCCGAGAACCCTAAGTTAAGTCATAAGACAGGACCTAGAGGTGATGTCTCTTCTGTGAAAGTGAAACAAACAAAATCTTCCCAAACCAGCCTAGAGAAGCGGAAAGAAACTTGTACTTTGCCTGAAGTACAGGTTGATGTCAGGAAGGGAGATGCCTTTGAAAACTGAAGACACACACAAAAATGTGACAAGTATGAGTGACTTTCAAATTCACACTACTGATCACGGAAGTACCTTCTATTAATAGAATAAAGGAGAGGAAGCACATGAAGGGTCTCAAAGATGTGACAAGGGAAAGGCAAACCTGCCCCCAGAACACATCTCTCCCAGTCAAGCAAGTCGCCACCCCTTTGAAGTAGGAAGAGGTCCTAATGAAACTATTTGCCATGAACTTTTTTTTTTTTTTTTAACCTCTAGGAGTTCTGGCAACATAGTAAAGGAGACAGTCATTAAAATAAAAAATTCGAAGACATTGTGATTGATGAACTAAGTTCGTGTACGGAAGAACTAATTAATCACGCAGATTTTAGCGTTCAGAGAAGTAGAAGCATAAGAGATGAGGACTTAAATTGGTTAGTATCTTCATGAGAAAATGAAGTCTCTTACATTTTCACATTTCACTTTGGGAATTCATCAAAAGTGAAGGTTCTAAAATATACTTAATTCAGTATTCCTTTTTTTTCTTTCTGCTTTTTTAAAAAAAATTTTTTTTCTGGATTGATTTTAAAGAGAGAAATAGATAGAAACATCGATGAGAGAGAACATCAATTGGCCACCTCCTGCATGTCCCCCACTTGGGATCGGGCCCACAACCTGGGCATGTGCCCTGACTGGGAATTGAACCAGCAACCTCTTGGTGCATGGGTTGATGTTCAACCACTGAGCCACACCAGTTGGGCTCTGTTTTTTTGTTTGTTTGTTTGTTTTTTAATTTTATTGGAAATATTTACAATTCAAACTTATTTTGTTCTTCTATGTATATATTAATCAGAGTGAGGTACATGATATATTTTCTGAATTATTCCTTTAAAAACTATATAATATTCAGTAATACAAAGCTATCACTAATTTTTAACCATTTCCAAACTGATGAATAATTAGGCTGCTTCTCATTTCTTGCCACTGTCATAAGCACCATTATACATTGTGCACAAGTGGAAAGGCATTGTCTCTAGATATTCTTACCTACAAATATTCTTTTGCACAAAGAGCAAAACAACAGAGCAGCTTAGTTCCAACTATTAAAACCAGAACAAACATGAGCAAAAACAATCTCTCACTTTGAGAATCAAAAAAAAAAAAAAAAAATCTGAAGAATAGAAATAACTAGAGTCATGATACACATTTTGAGTGCACAGGGTCAAGTATTATGCTATTTCCTGAAAATTGTAAATAACAATTGGAAAGAAAAAATATCTGTTCAATTGAGCATGCAAATTGTGGCACGAAGAGGAAGAGCAGGAAAGGACACAACCTTTTGTTACACACCCAGTGTGCACTTATGTGAAATTAGACTTTACAGTGACCTAGAGAGGATGGTATGGTCCAGATTTTGCAAAGGGCAGTTTTCCAATATCACACGGGCTGTGAGTAGTCGGGGTAGGATTGGAACCCAGCTCTGCCTGACTCCTCAGCTTTCCTCTCTGGAGATCATTTGTACAGACCCATAAGGCTATATTTAAGAATTCTAGTTTTACTTAAGGTGGTATGAACATACAGCTCAGTCGCACAGGACTGTTCTTATTTATGCTTGTTGTAATTTATATATTGTTTGTTAATCCTCACCTGGGGATATTTTTTCTGTTGATTTTTAGAGAGTGGAAGGGAGGGAGGGGGAAAAGAGAAACATCAGTGTGAGAGAGACACATGGATTGCTTGAGTCCTGCACATCCCCGGCCGACCAGAGTGGAGCTCCAACCTGCAACTCAGGTACGAGCCCTTCACCCCTGCGTGCGCAGGCCAGTGCTCTGACTGCTGGGCCACACTGGCCAGGGCTGCCTGTTGTCATTTTAAATAGCACCCTTTTCATCCTCAAAGTGCTTAAATGAAAACTGAGATATTTGCCTGAGGAGGACCATCTCGGGTATAATACCAGAGAGGGAGAGGCCACTCAGCTGCTGACAGAGTGGGAGAGACCTCTGGGTGCCATCACAGGCGAAGAGTAAGAAGGGCTGCAGATGAAAGAGGTACAAATTCTGCTCCACCTCAGCAAGTGTGCCTCTCGGCTGGGATTTCGGTTGGGAAGGGTTCTTACCCAAGTCTGAGAAGGACAAAACGCTGAGCTTGGCTGTGAGGTCTCCAGATGGAGGGTGGCTGAGCATGACTCAGGGGTCTAGTAAGAGGGTGACATGCTCCTAGATAACTGTAATAGACTACAGAACATTCTTTGTGAGATAAATAAAGGAAGGATGATTAGATTTCAGTAAAAAAAAAAAGAGAGAGAGAGAATGTTTAGGTCATATGTACTAAAAGACTTGGGAATGAAGG